CCCCGGGCCAAAGTTTCCCGCGTCGCATCCGCGGCGTCCTACCGAGTCCGTGCGCAGTTTGTGCGGCCTCCGGGACCGCTCGAGACCACCGCTCGCTCCCTCCTCTCCCTGCCCGCACCCGCGAGGCTGGTCACGCCCCATTCCTACAGCCCGGCGCGGTTAACCGCCTAGAGTCCGCTCCTCCCCAAGCGCCTCTTTTCGTGGCCTCACCGCCCTTTTCTGGGGGTGGTGGGCTACACAGGAGTGAGGCGCGCCAGGAGGGAAGCGGCCCGGGCCGGGCGCCGCTCTCGGGATTCACAGCCGCTGACCGTGCCAGGCAGGCTCAGGTCCTTGGGCCGCGCGAGCCACTCGAGAACGTCAGGGAGCAAGGCGATCGAGGGCTGGGAACCACGAAGTTCGCGGGGAGGAAAGCGGATTGCAAGTGAGGACGCTTTCAATCCTCCCAAGCCGCGGGGCGACTGGGGAGACCTAGCAGAACCCCTTCCGACCCCAGCTCCCCAGCAGGGTCAAGGCGCTTCTCAGAAAGGAGACTGGAACTGTGAAAGCCGCTTCGTGGCCTTTTCCAAGAAAGCCTGGGAATGAGGTGAAGAGGATTCGCGGCCAAACTGACCCTCACAGCACCCGCCCAGAGTTCGCACGCCCCGGGGCGGTGTGCGCGGTTGCGGTTCTGTGCGACCTGGAGGTCCTCGCGTAGGAAGGCGCTGGGCACTGCAGGACGCTAGCAGGAAGCGTGGCAGTAAGAGCAAGGAGGGGAGGTGGGCGCTCTTCACCGAGCAGCCATTGGTTTCACTGCAGAGCTGGGCTGAGAGCCTTCAGAAGCGGCTAATTTGGAAAGCCGGGTCGGTTTTCTATCCGTGTCTATGCGACCAAACACGTTTTAAAATAAAAGCTCAGTGGAAACGAAAAAACAAGCAAACATTAATATAGTGTGCTGTCGCCGTGGAGGCGTTAAATCGGGACTAGAATCAGGAGCCAAGAGGCGCGCCTGGAGTTGCGCTGCCAGGCTCTGGGGTAGCCGCGAGGGCTGGTTCCCGCAGACCTGTTTAGTGAACCATCTGGACTCAGGGACAAGCTGAGCCTGATGCCCCAGAGCCTGCATCCTGTCCCCGTCCTCTCGACTCCCCTACCGCGTAGGTCCCCAGCCGGGAGGGGCCCTCTTTCCCCCCATGCCGAGGTCCCTAGATCACTGCATCCCCAAACGGGTGGAGCACCCCCCTCCTGTCCACTCGAATGGAGACAGCGGGCCTTGGGTTCAGGAAGGGCCTGGCAGCCGGGTCCAGCTGTCGCCCCGTAGGTCCCCGTCGACCGCCCTCCACCCCCGCGGCCCCTCTGTTTTGCATGAGAAGGAGCCCAGCTGGGACCGGGGCGGGGGTTGAGCCACTCGGGACTCCGAGGCTTTAGATTCCAGAAAGGGGCGGTTGGGTCGAGGGCGCTAGCGGCAAGAACCAGGACAGCGGGGGGAGGGGGTGGTCGTGGAGCGTGGGGACGGCTCGACTGGACCAGCGCTCCTCGAGGGCCTCATCCAACGCAGCGGTCTGGGGAGGCGCCTCGGGTTCCGGAGGGAGGAAATGAGGACCCCTGAGCCAAGCGGCCCCTAGCGCCTCCGCAAGTGCTGGAGCACTGGGTGCGGATAGGTTTGTTCCGTCGGGTCCTTTCCTGGGCACAAAAACCCAGTCGGATCTCGCGAACCTGGCCTGCTGGGTTGGAGAATCGCCCTCCCGTCTTACCTCTGCCCTGAGCCGGGCCCTGAGACAGGCCCACGGAGAGGTCTTGATGCGAGAGAGATAACCAGCCCCAACACCGCTCTCCCCGCATCGAGGAGCCCCGTCCCAGTGTGTGGAGGGGCTGTGGAGAAGCTGTCAGAGGCCTCACAACCATAGGTCAGGACGCGCGGAGCGCCAAAAAGGTGCACAGCGCCTCGGCTTTGGCTTCCAATGCAAAGGTGAAGCAGGAGGCAAGCGGAGGCTGACGGCGGCCTCAAGGTTGCAAGGTAGTGAGGGCATAAGCTTGAAGGCAGGAAAGGGGCGTTGGCAGAGCCCTAAAACTTCACTCCCACAGAGCGTAAAACAAATTCGCTGTAGTGGCTTGCCGGTTCGTCCGAAGAGGGTATTCTGTTTGCAGAGACCTGGATGCCAGGCCCGCGCAGGTTCGTTGTAATTGCGTTTCAGAGCGCATTTTCCTGTGCATTTTCCGCAACTTAGTCCCCGGCCGTTGTGTGGAATCTCTGAGTCCCGTACCACTAGTGGGATGGAAAGGCCAATTCCAAAATATCAGCTAGACCTGGCTGGTTTATTTTCTTCCAAGGTAGGGCTGAATGCATCTTCTTAGCACCCCCTCCTCCGCCCTCAAAAAAAAAAAAAAAAAAGGCAAAAAAACAGGACTGCCCAGACCTGCCACCTTCAGACCTCAGGAGAAATCCCGGTTTAGCACAGAAATAGTGCTGTTGAAAAGGAATTTGGTATTTGATCTAAGCCAGGAAAACAGAGTGACTGTTAGAGGCTGAGGTTCCCCAGCTCCCCAGGACCCCGACCTGAAGCCCACGTTTGGAATAGCCGGTCTGGAGCAGTGGTCCCGAGAATATATTTGTAATTAGGAAGTAAGGGCTCCCGGAGGAGTGAACTACAGGGGGTGTGGTCCGCGGTGGTCTGGGGAAGCAGTTGCCAGCCCAGAGCCTGGAACGGGGGAGGAGGGGAAGCCGGGCCCACTCTGCCCTAGCTCTGCACACCCGAATCCATTGCAGCCTCTCCTTGCAGCCCCAGACGTCCCCGCTTCTTACTGCCACTACCGCCATCCACCAGCCGCCACTGATGCCCTGCGGTTTCCCGCCAAGTCGTTTGTTTTTTGTATGTAAAAGATGTCTCCGGATCACAGTTTTCTCACAACTTCTCGCCTGGGTTGCAACTCCTCACCCGAGGCGCTTCCCTACCCACTCCTTTCCCCCTCCCCGGCGCCGCGCCTCCGGTTTCCCCCGCCCCCACCAGGAAACCGCCGGAATCAACTTTCCAAGACCGCGCTGCCGGCAACAGACTCCCAGATCTCTGCGAGACCAAGACCCTGTGGACTCTGGATGCACTGGGGGAGGAGGCACAGGAGGAACCGGAGGAGAAGATTCTGCTGCCAAACGCCCTCCCTCCTCCACGCGCGCTGTGCCCGGGACAAACTTCTAGGCCAAGAAAGTGAGAAGAAGGGGAAAGAGAGAGAGAGAGAAGCCCAACACCCTATGAATTGCCAAGTCAAACAGTGCACCAGGGCCACGGGGACTCCCGGACCCAGCTGCACCCCAACCTTCAGCAAGGCTCGACCTTGGATTAATCCCACCTTCCAACTGTAGTCTGCCCTCCGCCTGCTCCTACTCCCGCGCTCTCATCGAAACCGAGGCCTTACCGGAGCAGGAGGGGCTCGGGCACCTCGCTGCCCGCCGCCCGCACCGCGCCGGGCCGCGGATGCGGCCGCCACTGATCCTCTAAACGCGGTCTCCCGGCACTCTCCCCGGCCCGGGGATGCAGAATGGTTTACAGAGGGACCGCGAGCCGCTGATTGGTCGCAGGCCGCGGTGACGTCGGCGGGCGCTGCATTAAGGCGAGGGGGCTTCCAGAGCTCAGCCAACAGCCAGGAGCAGTGACCGAGCCGCCGGAGCTGGGGAGAGACGCGCCAGGGCGGCGGACTGGGCCAGGAGACCAGGGACAGAGGGACGCTTGTCCGGGGACAGCCAGCAACGAACTGCGGCCTGGGCGGCGACAGCAGCGGTCCTTGCTGAGCTGTTCCAGCCTCGCAGAACTGTAGCTGCTCCACCAGGACGTTTTTTTAAAGCTCTCCAAGCTACTCCCCCTCCCCCTGACTCCTCCCGCTGCGAAAGGAAAAAAAAAAAAAAAAAAGGAAGGAAGGAAAGGCTAGAAAAGAAACCCAGATTTGCCACCACAACGAAAAAAAGGGGAAAAGGAAAAGAAAGTCGCGCGACTGTGGGGTTGGACGCAGGCAGCCCGAGCGCGGGCCGAGCGATGCGGGGCTGCGCGCACAGGCGGCCGCGAGTTGTGACTGGAGCCACGATGCACTGCCAGGCGCGGTGAGGAGCCAGACCGTATCACCTTCCCGAAGGAGTCCAGGAGCAGGGAGGGCCGTCCAGAAAACACGGAGGCCGCCAGGCAGGCCACGGGCCGAGGTGACGGGGCTGGGGCGGTGGGGAGCGAGCCAGCGCACCTGGCTGCGTCCGCCTGGAGTTGTCCCTCTGCATTCTCGACTGACACAAACACTTCTCCAAACGGGGGGGAACCTAAGCCGCAACAACAATCAACAACGAGATCTTCCTCTTGCCTTCCCCTCCCTCCCTCCCTCCTCCCTTGGCCTGCCCCCGCCCCCTCCCCCAGGCCCACCGCGGGCGCCCGGAGCGTCCGGACCCGCTGCGCGATGCCAGCAGTTTAGGATCCAAAGCTTCTCTACTCGTTTTGTTCTTTTCTTTTATAAAAAGAGGAGGGGAAATCCCGGTGGCAGGCAGCCCGGCACACACACACACCGCTCTCACACCCCGACAAAAGCAGATGCACTTTGACTTCTGACAGCTCTACCTCAAGCCCAAGAGAACTCCACGGCGCTTTCCCTGAGACCCGAGCTCGCTGCGTCGTCCTCTTCCTTCTCCGTCTCCGTTTTATTTATTTCTGTTCCTGTCGCCGTTCTCGGTGACCTTCACTCCTCCGCGGGCTCTGGGCAGAAGAGTCGCCTTCTCGCCGGCCCGAGACTCTTCCTCGCCCCAGAAGCTTCAGCGGCGCTGCGGTGCCCCGGGGCCCTGGGACTCCCAGGCTGCACACTCCACCGAGGTGCCCTCCGCCCGCATCAGCCTCATTTTCACCCCCTTTTGATTTCCTGGTGCGGGTTTTGGCTCGCACCCCCAGTGTGTCTCCTCTTTTTGGAGGGGCTGGGGAGCTCTTGCTATCGTCTTGGGGAGTCATCCCCTAGGCTTTACCTGCTCTTCTCTCTCCCGGCCTCACCCGACCAAACCAAAGACCATGGTGCACTGTGCCGGCTGCAAAAGGCCCATCCTGGACCGCTTCCTCTTGAATGTGCTGGACAGGGCCTGGCATGTCAAGTGCGTCCAGTGCTGTGAATGTAAATGCAACCTGACGGAGAAGTGCTTCTCCCGGGAAGGCAAGCTCTACTGCAAGAACGACTTTTTCCGGTGAGTACTTCCCTGGGGCGCCTCTGCTGCTCCCTCCCCGAGGGCCCTTCCCGGCCAGCTTCAGATCAGAGGTCAGCGCGGCCGAAGCAGCCGCGTTAGGAGCAGCTTTTGGAGAGGGCAGCCAAGTCCCACGGGCTCCTGCCTCTTCGCCAGCTGGCGTACAGGGAGCCTGAGAGGTGGCCCTGCTTGCATCCTGAGAATTGTGGGTCCGGGCTTAGCTGCACATGCCTGGGAAGAAAGGGTCTGAGTCCACTTCTGCCTAGAAGCCCCTCCAAGCTTAGAAGAGGGGCAGCACAGCCTTCTGCGTTGTAAACCCAGCTCTGGTCTTCCCCCGCTCAGAGCTCTCCGGCAAATGCATTCTCTGAGCCTCCCAGGTGGCCTGCCCTCCAGTCTGGGCTTAGAAGCCCCGGCTAGATCCAAGCCGCTGCCTTTTCGTCTCAAAAACGTCTTGGCGGGAACCGCAGAGGCTTTTGCGTAAAGTGTCTGAGTCCCTTGCCTTGGTGGCGGCAGGGGAAAACCCTGCCCTAATGCCTATCCTACACATCCCAGGATGTTCTTGACACCCCGAACAGCCTCCCAGCGCCGGTCTGGGCAAACGGCACGGTGCCTGTGAAATGCCCCAAGGCTCCAGCCTCCTGGAAGACCTTTCCCTGGGCTTCCCAGTGTCTGGGTTGGTCTCCGCCCAACGCGAACCTCAGCTTTGTGGCGCAGGCTCTACTCGGAGCTCTCCCAGGCACTGCCGGCCAACCCCTCACCCCACCACCTCCTTACCGAAACCCGGGGAAACCGAGGCCTGGCTCCTAAGAGCCAGGAGACTTCTCCAGACGCCCCTCCTTCGTTTAGTATTTTAATTTACTGTCTTAAACTCACTATCTTACCACGAAATCCACACAAACACCCAAGTCAACCGAGAAGAACAGGAGCAAATGCGAATTTTAATTCTTTTGTACTGGTTTGAAACCTCTCAATTTACTCGGTTGACTTGGTCTCTGCTTTTCTCTGAGTTTGTGGTGACAGATCAAACTGGGAGAAGGGGTGGGGGTGCGAAGCTATTCGGGTCGCTTTGCTCAGAGGCCCAGAACGCGCTGTCCCCATCACTGTCCCCAGGAAGCATGGCTCTGATTACACGGAACCAAAGAGGAAAGCAATGTGCAGGCTGATTTTGCCCGGAGCAAGTGCAGGCTGAGTCAGGAGCAATTGCTGGCTGAGCCTCTGAACCTCAGTTGGCCGCTCCTGGTGTCCCCAATACTGGCTGGAACCAAACTGGAGAAAGGTGAATGGTGCCGGCTTCCAGTGGGCCCCAGAGGCCTGTCTCCCGCAAAGCGCTGCCCAGCATCTAGAGCCCCGTGGTGGCTCTAGCTTGTGCCAACCTGCTTGAACGAGGCGGCAGCACAGCTGCAGCCGTCAGCGTGCTCCGTGGCTGTTTCTTCACCCGCGGTGGGACTGGCCTATGCGCGGGTCCTTTTGCAGTGAAAGAGAGGCGACGCTAGGAGAGAAAAGCGGCGTTCCGGACGCGTTTACATGGAGCTCTAATTAGAATTTGACTGTTCTCTGAATCTAATAAGAAAATAGTGCCTGCCTGCCTCCCCCTTTCCATCGCAGCCTTGCTGCCTTCTTCCGCGGTGCTCTTTTCCTCTGGGACAGCACTGGGCATGAGGCCTGGTGGGGGGAGCAGCATAGGCCCCTCACTCTCTCACTGTAACCATGTGTATCTCCCCCCTTGACTTTTCACTGGTGCCCCATGCCCTCTCCTGCCTTCTTGCCTGCTTGATCGGCATTCTGCCTCTTTTTTTTGGCTCTCTTTTCCCCATCCTCTTCTTCTTTCTCCACTTTCTATTCTCTTTCTCTGTCATCTTTTTCCTGACCTCCTTTCCCCCCTGCCCCTCACCAACCCATTCTCTCCCACCTCACAGATGTTTCGGTACCAAATGCGCGGGCTGCGCACAGGGCATCTCCCCTAGTGACCTGGTGCGGAGAGCGCGGAGCAAAGTGTTTCACCTAAACTGCTTCACCTGCATGATGTGTAACAAGCAGCTGTCCACCGGCGAGGAGCTCTATATCATCGACGAGAACAAGTTTGTCTGCAAAGAGGATTACCTAAGCAACAGCAGTGTCGCCAAAGAGAACAGCCTCCACTCAGGTGAGGCCCCAATTCCCAGCTGGCTAGGGGCGGGGGTTCTGGGGGAAGGAGGCCCACTAAGGCCGCTGCTCACCTGTCCTTCACTCTCCCCAGCCACCACAGGCAGTGACCCCAGTTTGTCTCCAGACTCCCAAGACCCGTCACAGGATGATGCCAAGGACTCAGAGAGTGCCAACGTATCAGACAAGGAAGGGGGCAGCAATGAGAATGACGACCAGAACCTGGGTGCCAAGCGGCGGGGGCCCCGCACCACCATCAAGGCGAAGCAGCTGGAAACTCTGAAGGCGGCCTTCGCTGCTACTCCCAAGCCCACGCGCCATATCCGGGAGCAGCTGGCTCAGGAGACTGGCCTCAACATGCGTGTCATCCAGGTTGGAGGGGGGGCAAAGCGGGGCTGGGCATGCTACTCAGTTCCCCTTGAGACCCACAGGCTTCTCTACACAGGCACCCAGGCAAAGCTGGGGAAACCCAGCCTTGAGCTGGGGAGCGGGTTCAGGGACCCTGGGGCGGGGGGGGGGGAGTGGAGAGACCCAGACACACCCCTACCCTGGCGACCTGTGAGGTACCGCCCATGGTGTAGAGCATCAGGAAATCCCTAGGCCTCCTCCATTTCCCAATCCAAACCTGGTGGTAGTAGTGGCAAGCTGGGAGGGATGGGAAGCTCAGCAAGAGTCTGAAGGAAGGGACATTGTTGGACACCACCGGGGAGTTGGGACCCTTTCTTCTGCACCAACCACCTTGTTTGGAAGGAACGCAGAGGTCTCTGAGCATGCCAGAGTGAGTTAGTTCCAGTGGCTGCTCCACAACACTGATCTTTCTCTGTGCCCCCTCCCTGTTTTGTGGGTTAGACAAGCCCCATAGCAGAGGCATCCTGGTTTGAAGGGGAAAAGGCCTGAGCTGGAGTCAGCTCAGCCTCTGGCGGCCTACAGTGGGATGGGGCGGGGGGGGGGGGGGGGGGGGGCGGGGGGAGGTAGACCTCTGGGCAGCTGTGCCTGTGTTGTGAGGCTGCGAGGCTTCATGTGATTTGGGCCTGAGACTCAGGCATAAGGTTTGGTGTGTGGTTCACCCGTGGAGGCCCTGAGAGGGTGTGGGTGGATGTGCCTGGGAGGCTGAGTGAGCAGGGACACACACAGGCAGGCTGCCCTGGAGGGGAGGCCTTGCGGCCTCTGGGAGGCTGTGCCAACGTGCGCACAGTGAAGGGAAGTTTGCGTGTCTGTCTTCAGTGTGAGGCTGTGGGAAAGTATATTCGGCACTGGGAAATCTGCGTGGATTTGAAAAGGAGATTGTGGATTTTGGTGTCACTAGCATTGGCAGACTGGGTGTCAGCAGGAGGCTGTTTAGTTCTCTGTCACGGTCATGGGGGAGGAGACTGCCAGGGACCCAGAACGGGAAGCTGTGTGTGTCTGACACTATTTGGGGAGAATGAGTGTCTATCTGTGTACAGCCCCCAGAAGCTGTAACTGTGACAGTGTGATATTGGAAACAACTCCGACTGCCTCACGTCGGGCAGGGCGGCTTGCCCAGGTCCCCAGTTGGGAACGCTGTATACCATTGGTTCAGGGGCCGCCCTTGGCGTTCCTACTCATACAGAACCCCCGCATACCACACACATACACGGAGCCCTGAGTCCAGCTAGCGGTAGGAGGGGTTAGGGGCCGGTCGGACCCCGCACCCGAAGGGTTGGGGGGTGTCTCCGGGGCCTCACCCCGCCCCGTGTGTGCTTCAGGTCTGGTTCCAGAACAGACGCTCTAAGGAACGGAGGATGAAGCAGCTGAGCGCGCTGGGAGCCCGGCGCCACGCCTTCTTCCGCAGTCCGCGCCGGATGCGGCCGCTCGTGGACCGCCTGGAGCCGGGCGAACTCATTCCCAACGGGCCCTTCTCCTTCTACGGAGGTGAGTGTGCGACCCGGAGGCGGCGAGCGGGCAGCCGGGCTTGGCTTCGTCGGAAGCGGGTGGCAGCGCTGGAGGCGCTTCGAGTCGAGGAGTTGGGGAAGGCCGGAGAGTAAATCAAGGGGCTAGTCCAGAGCGAGGGCCGAATCCCCGACCGTGAACGAGGCGGGCGAGCTGGCAGAGAGCAGCTACGCTGTTTGCAGCAAGGCTCCTCCCGGCGGCCAGCCTGGCGGGGGAGCCCGCGACGGCGAGTTGCCCGAGTCGTCCTTAGCGTCCTTTCTCCGCCGCCCTGACACCCTCCTCCCCGCCGCTCCGCAGATTACCAGAGCGAGTACTACGGGCCCGGGGGCAACTATGACTTCTTCCCGCAAGGCCCCCCGTCCTCGCAGGCTCAGACGCCGGTGGACCTGCCCTTCGTGCCGTCGTCCGGGCCCTCCGGGACACCCCTGGGCGGCCTGGAGCACCCGCTGCCGGGCCACCACCCGTCGAGCGAGGCGCAGCGGTTCACCGACATCCTGGCGCACCCTCCCGGGGACTCGCCCAGCCCCGAGCCCAGCCTGCCCGGGCCTCTACACTCAATGTCGGCCGAGGTCTTCGGGCCCAGCCCGCCCTTCTCATCGCTGTCGGTCAACGGCGGGGCGAGCTACGGGAACCACCTGTCTCACCCGCCCGAAATGAACGAGGCGGCCGTGTGGTAGCGGGGTCTCGCACGGTCCGCGGAGTTCGTGGTTGTACAGAAACGAACCTTTATTTAAGAAAAATAGAAAAACGAAGAAAAAAACATAAAAGCAAGTCACCACTACCCCCCCAACCCCCCCCCCCCCCCCACACACACTTCCTTCAGCCTCGGGGACCATTTTTCCGTCTGGCGAGTCCAGACAGGAAAGGGGGACAAGAAACAGGACCCAAATCCTCCTGGAAGTAGAACTGGGATCCGTGCTCTGACTGGCAACGTGCAGAACTGGGGCTCCCGAAGGGATATGCAGACCTCTCCCCATCTTCCACCTGCACCGGGATCCGGGGACAGACTCGAGCGCGCCGGCCCGGCCAGAGGGCTGTACAGAAAACACCCTCAGCGGCGGCGGGGGCGCACAGCCAGTGGTGTCGCCGGGAGCCGCGGGGAGGGAGGCCGAGAGGCGCAGCCGGGAGAGGGAGGTGGAGCGGCCCGGGGCGCTCTCGGGCCAGCCAGGAGGGTTCTGGCTCTGGGAAATCTCTTACTAGTGTCTCAGAGTTCAGCAACAGCGACAACAAACTCTTATAGCTTCAGAAACGCCGACCTGCTGTGCATCAGGTGGGACTATATATATATATATTTTTTGTCTATCTGGGTTTTTGGTTTTTGTTTTTGCCAAAATTGCAAAATTCTAAATGTAAAGCCCTCAGTATCAACTCTTCTACCTTCACAAAGCTCTACACACACACACACACACACACACACACACACACACACCAATAGGATGGTCTCTAGCCGGACCTCTCAGTAAAATGACTTGAACATCAACTGTACAAGAAAGTATTCTACCTTTACGCATACAAAAAAAAAAGTTTAAAAAAAGACTATTGAACTAAAAACAGTCAACTGTTTACGTATAATGTTAAATTCAGGAGTTCAGTGTTTTATTAATATATCCTGTTTTGAAACCTCTTGTTCAAAAACAAAATGTTTTGAGCAATCAACCAAACTTGTTCATTTTCTTTTCCTGTAGATGTTCTGACAGATTTGCAGGGCTTGCAGCTCACTGTGCTAGTATGTAAAAAGGTGTTGTTTACACAAGGCAAAGAGAAAACATGATATTCAGACACTTGCCAAATAGAATAATTATAGCACAAATACTGTAAAGGTGCCTGACACCACAACCTGAGAAAGTGTTAAAAAAAAAAAAAAGAAGAAAAAAAAGTGTTACAAGGTTTAAAAAAACATCTTTGCTAATTTTTAGTCCTGTTGAACATTCATGGAATTGTTAATATGACTTATATAGACCCACACAGGTTTTATTTTTGTGTCTTTAAAATAAAAGTCCAAAATATTTAAATTTTATGGTCAAATATGCAGTCAACAGCTGCTACTTTTTTCTTTATATATTAAATTTCTCATACGTCTTTTATTGTTCTGATAAACCTAAGCTTGTGTGACCTCCAGTGCATATTAGACCATTCACTGTATGAAAGAAAACATGTTGAATAAATTTGTGAGTTTTTAATAAAAATAGAAAATCTGATGTTTAGATAATTGGTGTGTTATTTGATGTTTTAACAAGTAAAGGGGAGGCCTGATGGGGAGCCGAATGACACCTCAAAAGCCAGAGGGAAGAGAAGCAGGACTGGGCTATGTTTTTACCTTGGCTATCGCTGAATCCTCTTGCTAATGACAGCCAAGTTTTTCTCCGTGGCTTCCTGCTGTTATTAACTACAGATTTGCATTCTGTGTTTTTAACTGATACAGTTGAAGAGCTGTTTGCTGAAAAATTAATATAGAATTTGAAATAGAAATCAAATCCATGGCTAAAAATGGTCCGGGCATGATTAGGCATGAGAGCCCATGCACCGTCTCTATCCCCCATTCTGTACATGCAAAACTGGACTTGTGATAGTCAGTTACTTGTAAATATATAGTTAGACGTGGTTCTTTTCAGTTTCAATTCACTTCCCATAGATAATCCTGCTCTCTAATTTGGTGCTTTAAAAGATTACGTAAAATGAATGTAGGGTACAGCTAGAAATGAAATACTTTAATCCCTTTCAGAGAACTGATACAAAGTAGTTGTTTTATAGAATTTGTTACATTTGAAGTTTCCTAGAAGAAAACCTATTTTACCTGGCACAAGATACATATTACCTTTCTCTGAAAGATGAGCAAAAATAACCAATATAGTAATCAAATTTCACCTGGGAGATGCCAATAGGTTCTGAAAAGTACTTCAATCCCTCCCAAGCCTTCATTAACCATGGAAGGAATTTAAATATTTATCTACTATGAAATACGTGTGTGTTTTTAATATTAGATGCTATTTGAGTTCCAGAATTTCATTTCTATATCACCTAGATTTCAGTCTGGATTATTTATTTCGTTTTAAAAATCAAAGATTTTACGTTAAATGGTACATAATTTCAATTGTTATTTTCACATTTTGTTAAGACACAACCAAGTGTATCTTTCCTGCAGAGAAGGCTTTAAAATAAGCAATATTTTACTGCATCCATATGACCGCTTAACTAACGGGGGAGGCCCGTCAGGGAAGAACCTGACAGTATTCTTTCAGAAATCCAAATTTCTGAAATCTGAGGAGAGTTTTGAAACTCCTAACCTCTGCATGCAGCACATTTCTTTATCTGCTTTGTATGCAATCACTGGATGGGCTGTTTTTGCCCTTTTAGCGTTTATATACATTAAATCACAGCCACCTTATTCATTATGGCCACCCCGTTTAAAGACATTCATTTAACTGAACGTACGCTCATGGGAAGCTGCATTTTTCCTATCAAGGCTGCTGAATTATTTAGCAGCTTTATTGTGGAATCTGGTACTTGTTAAGAAGCGTTTTGAGTTGGGCACTCGGTGTGGACTCATTTCCTCTCTCTTACTCCGTGGCAGCAGGGCAGTCTTTCCCTCTTGGCTCTGGATACTGAATCCTAATAAGTACCTGAACAGGTGGCAAAGCTTAGCAGTCAAATTTGGAGCCACCTGAGAGGAGGGGGTCTAGAAACATCAGGGACTATTCTTCCCATCAGAGCAGCAGTGCCCACCTCTAAGGTGCAGAGAAGCAGACAAGCACTGCACCATCCCCAGGCAGCCCAGCTGCGAGCTCAGCTCCCGGGAGAGGCTCAAGAGCTATAGAGGAGCAACAAGGTGGTCCCCTCCCTCCGAGGAGGGCAGTCTCCTCTCCAGTTGGGCTTGGCAGTTCGCTTTCTCCCAGCAGCCATCTTAAAGCTGCCACCTCTGTGCCTCTGGCCATCTGCCCGCAGGGTTCCAGCCTCGGGAAGCTACCATCTGCCTTGGGCTAGGGAACTGAAGCTCACCCACCCAACTTCTCCAGGCTGGAGGAGACTGGGGACTGCTTTAGGGCTGTACAAAGTGAGGGGAAACTATTCATGGAGAGCCAGGACAGGCATAGGCAGGGACCTGGGACTTGGGGATTGATGACATCTGAGAAGAGAGAAGGGCAAGAACCTGGTTTCCCTAAACTTTTGAAATGCCTGGTCATAGGAATAGTTGATTGGGACAATGGTGGGGGGCAATCCAGTGCCACCCCTGCTCATCTTCTGCTATTCCTACATCTGTCGGTCAGTTTGCAGCCCTTAGACAGCAGGACTGTGAATGGGGAGACCCTCTCACTGCCTCTGGAGAGGACTGTTCTTTTGGGAGAGTGCTCCCATTTATTCCCCTCCCTCTGATCATCACATCAGCTCTCACACCCAGAGCAGTCAGAGGTTTGTCTTCTAGGGGTGTAGTCTTTGAAATATTCTCTCTTATACTCCATCCTCCATCTCCAGATCTATTCCCATCAGGAAAATCCTTCCTCCTTTCTCTAGATACTAGGATGCAAGCAGGGAGGGCCCCCTAGAGAGAGCATTTAGGAGCGTGCTCTCCAGCCCCATGCTTCAATGTCTCTCAGCTGTGTCTTAAATCCTAGAATTCTTTCCTCTTTCTTCCCCTCCCTCCCCTCAGTATGGGGTAAGAAAGCAGAAGCATTTGGGGGGCCCTGGGGTGTGTGTGACTGGAATAGAGTAGTCTTGATTCCTTCCTCCAAAGGCTTCCCAAGTCAGAGGGCATCAGGACAGTGAAGGGGGAGTAGATAAGCAGGACTAGGACGTTTTCTGCCCAGAGTCATCCACCAGTGTGTCTTGTTTGCACGACAGCTTAGAGGTGGTCTCTGACCTGTCTTGCCCCCTTCCCCTTTTCTCCCTTTTCTTTATTCTGAAGGCAAGGATTCTAAGCATTATTGTTGGAAATAGGAACAGAAGAGGATTGGGGGAGGTAGTTCCTTAAATGTGGAGAGATACACTTTTGTCTTTTGAAGCCCAGGGCAGTGGCTCCCTGTTGCAGCTTTGCTCTGGAGGCCCCAGACAACAGGCACCAGATTGCAATTACAGAGAATACGTTAACAAAATGAGAGAGAGAGAGAGAGAGAGAGAGGCTGCTTTCTAGCCTGAATTCTCTTGCTGCTGGTAAAAAGCAGTTTTCTTTTGCCTGAGTCCCCTGCCTAGGTGCTCCTATCCTAGCCTGGCATTTTCCCTTTCAAGTCTGAGGGAATCTGCCCTAAGACAGGTTCTCCTTCCCCTCTGCAGCCACCTAGGAAGGGGACATGAAACAAGCCACACTAAAGTGATGGTCCCTCATTGCTCTTGACCTTGAGGGCATATTAAGACTGTGAAAGTCAGGGACCCTTACTTCCCTTAAAATCCACAGGAAACTCTGGTGAGCTGAGCGTTCTCAGGCTGTTCAACTGTGCGATCCAACTGGCCTGGCACCCTTAACACCTCTTTTCTGAACTCTTTTCATGCAATTTCAGTTGGGGGGGGGGTGTTGTTCTAGGTCTCTACAGGTGACCTCAAACAGACACTGGAAGGATAGAACACTTTGTACTCACCCTTATTCCTTACTGCCTTTATTTGTTTACAAGTTTGTCTGCCCCCCCCACCCCCACCCCAACGGGCTAATCCTAGTCAGGAGAGAATGTAACTTGTTCATCTTGTATATCTCATCTAGCCACACAGCCAGCAGTTAAGGAATGCTTCATGAAGGAAAAAATATAAAGTGATTGTATCTTTGCATGTGGCTGGGTGTAATTAAATTGATCTTATCAAGTATATATTTTGAGTCTACCTGTGCCCCTCATATGTTAGACATGAGTTTTTCTGCATTTGTGCACGTTTCGAGTGTCTGAGTATATCCTCACCTTTGAACAGATATCAAAAATGAGGGTATGCAATAGAGTAATCGCCATCATCACCTCCCCCTTCCCCAAAACAAGGCTACTTGGAGAAACTACTGAACGGTCTTTATTTATGCACAGCCATAGCTATTTCTAATTATTCCTGTTAATAACGAGGCCAACAGTCCGCTGTACACTTAACACATGCACAACCCTGACGTAGGATTCTTAAATCCCGATCACCGCAGGGTTAGAGGCATGTGCCCGGGGCGTCCTCCAAATTGTTAAACTGTTACATGTCAAACCTATTTTGGTCCCACTGCCAGAAAGCGCACTTGAGGCTGGAGGCGCTTACCCTTTACTCGCTCCTCTTTTTCAAATCAGCCACCATATATAGGCCATGGCTACATCACACTTTATTTCTAAGCGAATCTCGGACAAATCTTAAAGCATATTTTATACAAGGGGACAAGGGCCGCGCGCGAACGTCTGTTCGGCGCCAACAGCGGCCACGAGCCCCGGCGCGCTCCCGGACGCCCCACACACCCCCTCGACGCACGCGCACGCGCGCCGGGACAGCGACAATCCCTTCAGCCTTCCGCGCGCTTCCGCCTTCTTCCTAGCAACGCCCGTAGTGACGCACAGGCCCTGCCCCCTCGCGCGCGCCTCCCGGAAGTGACCGGCCCAGAGCGAGAGCAGGGAGCTCTGCGGTCCCTGGCTGTTCTAGGGAGTAGTCTCCCAGCGACAGGGCCTGGCAGGGAGAGAGCGTCCGGGCCGGGGCTAGGGCTGGGCTCTACATTGACGGGCGCGGCGCGGAGCGAGACCTGGTGACGATGGCGGGGCCGCAGCCCCTGGCGCTGCAGCTGGAACAATTGTTGAACCCGCGCCCGCGCGAGGCGGATCCTGAGGCCGACCCAGAGGAGGGTGAGGCCTGACTGGGGAAAAGCCACGTGCGGAGCGGTGGGTCCCAGCCCCGGGCAGCCCCGGGAGGCGCGAGAGAGGCCGGCAGCCTGGCCTTGCCGCCTGGCCTACTCGGCTTGTCCTGGCGCAGAGGAAAACAGCCTCCCGGGAGGGTTGCCCGGGCTCGGGAGGAGGGCTTTGGCTTCCTTCTGACCCTCACTCGACTTGGTGCTTGGGTGGGCGGAGTATCCTGGGGACTTCGAGAGCTGTAGCAGGGAACAGGGGTCTGGTAGTTGTTTGGAAGTTATCTTTCAGGTTGCCGTTACCGGTATTGAGTTAGAAATGAGAAGGAAGTCTCAGCCGTTTTTTAAGTCGGCCTGCCCCCAAGAACTTACTTGGAGATTGAAGGAAGAAGTGGGATTCCTTCTGCTGTTTCAGCCCCCTTAGGCCTCAAGACATTTGCTCTGGGGCTGACAAATGGGACTGCTGTTCTTCTTCTTCTTCTTCTTTTTTTTTAATGTTTATTTATTTTGAGAGAGAGACAGCTAGCAGGGGAGGGACAGAGAGAGGAGGAGAGACACAGAATCCGAAGCAGGCTTCAGGCTCTGAGCTGTCAGCACAGAGCCCGATGCGGGGCATGAACCCACGAACTGTGAGATCATGACCTGAGCTGAAGTCGGATGCTTAACCGACTGAGCCACCCAGGTGCCCCTGGGACTGCTGTTCTGTAAGCTGATGTTCAAGGTCTAGTTGGGAGTAATCCTGCTTTAGACTTGAATCAGAGAAGTGTGAGGAAAGAAGAATAAAGAAGGATAAATGTGAGTGCTGGACCGTGTCTTAGGAATATCAGTTGAAGGAGCTGGGGCTGTTGAGCCAGGATAAGCAAACTCCCTTAGGGATGGGATGGAGTGAGGATAGATGGCTGACTTGCAATATGTGAGTGTCAGAAATGAAAGGGGAATTAGGCTAGGTTTTATAATCCAAGGCATAGAAATCTATCCTACTAGTAGACGCAGAGGTCAGCTTTCTGTTCAGGAACAGCAGTAAGGCAGTGGTCTATCTGGAGAGGTAGTGTTTCCTGTTCCTGGAAGTTGAGGATTTTGTAGAGTGGGTGAAAGTGTTGAACAGGGTTACTATTAAAGTTCTTTCTAACCTGGAGATTCTGATTACTCTCCCCCACCCTCCCCTACAGCCACTGCTGCCAGAGTGATTGACAGGTTTGATGAAGGGGAAGATGGGGAAGGTGATTTCCTGGCGGTGGGTAGCATTAGAAAACTGGCATCGGCCTCCCTTTTGGACACAGACAAAAGGTATTCTGGCAAGGCTACCTCTAGAAAAGCTTGGAAGGAAGACACCTGGGAGCAGACTCTGCCAGGTTCATCTGGTGAGTAGACATATTTGCATGGTGCTTTCTCTTCTCTAATTTTTTGGGGGTAAAGTTGTGGGGTTTTGTTTTTGTTTTGGATGACCTCTGTAAGACTAGTCTGTGTGTGTGCCCCCACTTACTATCTTAGGAGAGACTGGATTTGGCATTAGAAAGGACCTTAAGATACTTAATTTCAGTTCATAAGGATTCTAAGGCTCAGGGCTATTAAGTTTCTATAATCCTTATGTTTAGATTAATGGTTCACCCTAAAATAGAGAGAAAAGGCAGTAGATATTTGATAGGGCTATGTGTTGAGAAAGAATTGAGTCTGATGAGCATGCTTACTCATAGATTTTGACCCTTTTCCTTTGGTTTTTCAAGTCTTGCATTGAGCCACTGTATAATACTGGTTTGTGAAACTTACGTTTTTGCCATTGTAAAAATAATATAATCCTTCCCTCTCCCCTGCAAGGGCCTTAGGAGGATGTGAGGACATCAACTCATAGTTTTATTTTTTATTTCTTTTTATGAAATTTGAAAAATGTAATCTCTACATCCAACATGACATTTGAACTCTCAACCCCAAGATCAAGAGTCGCATGCTGTTCTAACTGAGCCAGTCAGGCGCCCCATCAGCTTACAGTTTTAAAGCATTAGCATTGTAAGTGTCTCAGTGGAAGAAGGGGCTGGATATGGTGGTTACCGAGTGGATGCCTTTTTTCCCCACCTTTAGAGAGGTTAGAGGTGCCAGGTTGAGAATGCACAGATGATATAAAAGAAACTATCATTCAGGTCATGATATCCATGATTAGTTGGATAATGGATAATTATCCATTGTAGTTCTGGGGGCTCCTGGTAAGCTCATTTCACATTCTTTGCCTAGAGACTGATAAAGGGACCGATTGTGAGACAAATATTATAATGCTTATTGGGTTTCACCATGTGTCAGGCCTTGTGGTCGCTCTTTAAGTTCTAAGATATTAGAACAGTCTTCAAAAGATGTTGTTAATTGTTATCATTACATGTATCATCTCATTTGATACTCTAAATTTATGAAGTTGCTAGTATTTATCCCTTCTGTTTATAAATTTTTTTAATTTATTTATTTTTAAGGGGGGGTGCACGTGGGGGAGGGGCAGAGAGTGAGAGAAAGAGGGAGGGAGGGAGATACAGAATCTGATGCAGCCTCCAGGCTCAGAGCTGTCAGCACAGAGCCGGACGTGGGGCTCGAACTCAAAAACCATGAGATCATGACCTGAGCTGAAAGTTGGACACTTAACTGAGCCACCCAGGCACCCTGTATCCCCACTTTAAAGGTAAAGAAATTGAGGGACAGATTGGTTATGTAACTTGCTCAAGGTCATAGAGCTGGTAAGCCAAAGAGCCAGGACTCACATGAGGCCGACTGACTCCAAGATCGATACTTTTTTTTTTCCCCCCAGATCTATACTCTTAACTGCTACTCTGTGAGTATTCCTTAATCTGAGAAATGTCATACATTTAAAGAACTTAAAGGGTTAATTTTATTTTTTTTAAATGTTTAACGTTTGAGAGAGAAACAGAGCACAAGTGGGGAAGGGGCAGAGAAGAGGTAAGACACAGAATCTGAAGTAGCTCTAGGCTCTGAACTGTCAGCACAAAGCCAGCCCAGCATGGGGCTCAAACCCACTGACTACGAGATCATGCCTTGAACCCAAGTCAGACACTTAAGTGACTGAACCACGCAGGCGCCCCAGAACTTAAAGGAGTAATTACTGTACTGTTTTTGCATTTCATTTTTGTATTTGTATTTTGACAGCCCTCTTCATGTCCTGAGTTTATGTATACTTTTTAAAAGAAATACTGAAGATCTATCACATCAGCTATTACTTATGCTTAATCAATAAAATTATAATATCTCCTGTACATGAAGCTATTCCTCACTCTTCCAGGCATGTTAGATGTATCCTTTTCTGTGTACCAATGGCACTATAAGTTTTTTAAAATTTTTATTTAAATTCCATTTAGTTAAGTGATGAATTACTAAATTCTATTCCTGAAATAATCATTACACTATATATTAACCAGCTTAGATTAAAATAAAATAAAATACACACTGAAAAAAAAAATTTTTAAATAAAAAATAAATTCCATTTAGTTACTATATAGTGTGATATTAGTTTCAGGTATACAATTTAGTGACTCAGCACTTATAACACCTGGTGCTTATCACAAGTACACTCCTTACTCCCCATCACCTGTTTTACCCATCTCCTTACCCACCTCCAATATACTGTGTACAGATGACACTATGACAATAATAGTGACATGAATATTGGCATGTGTATCTACCACTCTTACCAGGCTGTGAATTGCTCCCCACAGGTGTTATATTGTACTTGTCATTTCTTAGCTTTTATCTAGACCTGGCTGATAATAGGTGCTTAAATAAGTAATAAATAGGGTACACTGGTGTGATAGATATTGTACATTTGGGGTAGTTAATGATAAATTACATTTCAGATATAGGTTTGGGAAAACTGTTAATTGCCTTATTTGATATCATTCCATTCTTCAAGTTCCAGACCTTGCCCCACAGTTAAAATTTCTCCCTCTGGGTTATCAAAATTTTGTCAGTTGTTGTCTGTATTTGATGGGTTTCTCTTTTACACTAGAATCTTTGTTAGGATAGGACCTGTGTTTTGTTCATCTTTGCTTCTCCCTTAGCCTTTTATCATTTATTTATTTTTTTTCCCAGATTTTGATATTTTTTCTTAAATAGTTTATTGTCAAGTTGGTTTCCCTTAGTCTTTTAGAGGTAGTGATGTATAATATATATTTGAATCGAGTGCAGCAATATATTTTATTTTTTTGATGGATGCTGTAGTCCTTTATTTGAAATAAAAGATGTGGCCTAATGTTTGTCTCAAAGTAACATCTGTCTTTTTTCCTTCTTTCTTCTCTTGTTCAGACAAGGAAATAATATCTGATGAGGATGAGTCTGGAGATGGAGATTCAGAGGGGCTGGGTCTGGAGGGATCCGATGAGGATGCCATGAGTGCTGCTGCGGAAGAGGAGTGTGCTGATGACAGGGACAGTAGTCTGGCCTGGAAGAAGAGGAGCAGAAGCCGCTCTGGGAGAACACCGGGTTTTAGTGTCCAGAGTATCAGTGACTTTGAAAAATTCACCGAGGGAATGGATGACCTTGGTAGCAGTGAGGAGGAAGAAGATGAAGAGGAGAGTGGCATGGAAGAAGGGGATGGGGAGGAAGACTCCACAAGTGAGAGAGAGGAAGACAGGGCTGGAGACAGGAATAGTGAAGACGATGGTGTGGTGATGGCCTTCTCCAGTGTCAAAGTTTCCGAGGAAGTGGAGAAAGGAAGAGCTGTGAAGAGCCAGATAGGTTTGTACATGGTCTGCTGGTGGCTTATTTTTCAGAGTGTCTGCATTTGATCTCCTGTTTGTTTTTTTTGTTTTTTTAAAATTTGTTTTGGCTCTTCATTTTCTCCTGTGTCCTTCCAATTAGTTTGTGACATGTCCCACCTACCTAGAGGCCTAAAGCCCCATTCTTCTCTGCTTAGCCAGCCTTTTCGACACTGAGCTGCTTAGCTGGTTCTGTTCTAGTATTTTGATGGCTGTGGAATACCGAGGGGAAAACAGTTTTCTCCTCTCTTTGGACTTTAGCATACCCTCTCTCGTAACAAGTAGTTGCTTCCAAGATACTGAATTTATTTCCTGTAATGGAGAGTATTTTCATGGCATGAAGCTGTGATAAAGCCGTGCTTTGTAGAGACTGGTGTGATTTCTTGTCTCTTCCCACCTCCCACCATGAAGATTTTTGTAACAAATGATATTTTTTCTTTCTCAGCTCTGTGGGACCAGCTTTTGGAAGGAAGGATCAAGCTACAGAAAGCTCTGTTGACTACCAATCAGCTTCCTCAACCAGATGTTTTCCCTATTTTCAAAGACAAAGGTGGCCCAGAATTTGCCAGCGCCCTGAAAAATAGTAAGAATACTTATGTCATACGGGGTTACTTTAGAACCACTGGAACATTGGGATACACTGGGACTGTATTTGGAGCACCACAGAGTTGAAGAAGAGAAGATTTGGTTTTAGTGGTAATATAGTACAGAATAGGTTTTTAACTTTTTTTAAAAGGTTATTTATTTATTTTTAGAGAGAAGGAGAGAGAGAGAGAGCATGCACTTGGGTGCACAAGTGGGGGAGGGGCAGAGAGAATCCCAAGCAGGCTCCATGCTGTCAGTGCAGAGCCCGTCTCAGGGCTCGATCTCATGAACTGGTGTCCCGGTTTGTGAGAGCTTTACCTGAGCTGAAATCTAGAGTTCGATGCTTCATCAACTGAGCCACCCCGGAGCCCCTACCTGCTTTTTTTTAAAGTGAACTGTCTGCCGCACATGGGGCTCAAGCTCATGACCCCAAGATCAAGAGTTGCACACTCTACAGACTGAGCCAGCCAGGCTGCCCCGGAATACCTGCTTTAATTAGGAATTGTTTCTGAGGGTCTAGCCTTTAGATTTTATATCTTACCATACTTGAAGTCAGGCCCTGCAAATATTGTGAGAGTGGATCTTTTATATCCCTTCCCTCAGCTTTCCCCCCTTCTTTCCTTAAGTAAAAGATAGGTTGGCAGTTTTCAAAAGTTTTGAGATTTTTGGATCACTTAGCTGCTATTTTCTTTTTCTTTTCAAGTAAACTCTCTGCCCAACATGGGACTTGAACTCATGACCCCAAGATCAAGAGTTGCATGCTCTACTGACTAAGCCAGCCAGGAGACCCATTTCTCTACTGTTTTTAATGCCTTGGTACCCTAATTCCTGGTATGCTTTGGGGTGAGACCTAATTGCTCTAGGTTAAATGTTTGGTGAGGAGACCTTTCCCATTTTGTAACTTATTTATTATCCCTTTCTTTCCCCCTCCCCTTTTTTTATTTTTTGGATTCATCTTAAAATATTGGTATTTTAAGGGTTGGTCAATGTCAGGTGGACATATTCTTATTCTTGGGTACAATTTAGTTCCTTTAACTACTTTAATATTATTTAACCTTTTTTGCAACTATTATGAATTTTTTTTTAATGTTTGTTTAATTTTGAGAGAGAGAATGTGCGAGTGGAGGAGGGATGGGGCTGGGTTAGGGGACAGAGGATCCAAAGCGGGCTCTGTACTGATAGCAGCGAGCCCAGTGTGGGGCTCAAACTCACAAACTGTGAGATTATGACCTGAGCTGAAGTTGGACACTCAACTGACTGAGCCACCCAGGCACCCCTGCAACTATTCTGATCTTCTTAATCTGCCTTTTTTTATACTTAACCAATTGCCTCTTTGCCTCATTGGTGAATTCCAGTTAATGTGATAGATGTCTCTTAATCTGACAGGATGGGTTGCAGTGGAGGAGGGAGAAGAAAGGAATGTTTGTTTGGTGTCACGTATTCTAAGATAGGAGAGTGGAGAGTATTCTAATGCTGGTATTTCTGTACATCTGAAGAGTGGCTAATATTTGTTTTTTAAGATTTTATTTTTTAAGTCATTTCTACACCCAAGGTAGGGCTCGAAACTCATGACCCCAAAATCAAGAGTTGCATGCTCTACAGACTAAGCCAGCCAGGCGCCCCAGGGTGTCTATTTTTGTTTGTTTCAATCTTCTTATGACACTATGACATAATACGTTATGTAGCTCCCTGTGTTGGGAAACAGTTGAAGAAAAATTTCGAAGGTACATTACTTTGGAGGCACTGTAACTGTGCTATCTAGCTGGTGTGGAACATAGGCTGAGTTTGTACTGACCCCAGAACAGGAACTGGAACTTATTGTCTTTAATTAAATCTCCTGTCAGTTTGCTTGGCCTTATAGGAGTTAACATTAGACCACCTGGCTTTAGATTCCATCTCAGCAATAGATTAACTGTGACCTTGGTGAGGTTCCTTAACTTCATGGTAAAATGGCAATGGTATGGTTGTGAGGGTTGATGGACATGCTCAGTGTAAAGCATTAGCCCAATGTCTGGCACATAGCACCCCACAACTGTTAGGTGTGGGTATTTTTCTGCTGAAAGAGGCGTTTGGTAATTATCAGCCATGTGAATGATGGTCATCAGTTTAATAACCATCATCCCCACTGTCTTCAGTGGTGTTTGACTTTTTATTAGTATTCAGACCTCCTATGTAATTTGCCCATTTGCTCTGGAAAGTGCAGTGTTACATTCTTCTTTAATGCTTATAATTCAGCTTTTGTCTCATGACTACAGAAAGATAACCAGAGATTTCTTCGTTACAACACCCAGCTACTGCCTCCCTGAAGCATTCAACTTTTCCTTGAAATATTTTCCTTTGGCTTTGGTAACACTATGAGTGCTGTTTGGGTTCTCCTGCCTTTGTGATTTCTTCTCACCTCAGACTCTTATTTTAGTCTCGCAATGTCCATTTCATCATGTGCAGGAACCTGTTCTCAGGTTGGATTTTCTTGATGTGTTCTCTCCATGGCACTGCCATTTACTTATACAGTCCTGATGATAGCCTCTAATGCAGCATATTCTAGCCACAGTAAACTCCTGAGCAGCATGCCATTCTTCCTTCAGCACCCTCTACTCTACTCTCCTGAGACTAAACAACTATCTCCTTCCTTCCCCAACACACACGCACTTAGTCCCCAGTCACCTCGGTGTTACGTGTTGGTGATTATAACTCTTGAAGTGTTAGGTAGTTTCAAAGACAGTTTTTTGATATTTTAGTAGTTGCTCAAGTGTGAGTCATAAAGGAACCTTAGCAAAATTAAGGGATTTTTCTGTGGGCAAAACTGTTTCTCTAAAGAGGTTACCTTTTCCTCTCTGTTTTTCTTTTAACAAGTTCTGCAGTATTAGGAGTCAGGTCTTTTACGTTGGTGGCAGCAGTATATGAGGAAGAAGGCAAGTTACTTAAGTAAACCTCAGCATGAGTTATTTAAAAATTATCATTATGAAATATATCAAACTTGAACAAAAGCATGGAGAATGTATAGTGAACCCAAATACCGTTACAAGCTAAGTAATCATTAGTTTTTGGCCAATCTTATTTCATCTCTATACTAACTCTCCCCTTACTTCTGGATTCATTTTGAAGCGAATTACTAGATATTCTATCATTTTATCAGTAAATCAGCATGTATCTCTAAAAGGGTTTTTTAAAAAAAATCACAGTACTATTATTTCACGTAAAAACATTAACAGTGATTTCTTAATAAGCCTAACTGATTTTAATGGATGGGAGAATTGAGAGAGCATTTCTGTAACAGGCGCACTCTACGATCTTTTCGAGAGTTTGCTCTATCTTTAAATGAAGTGATTAAAGGAAAGCCAAACTTCAGCCATAATAAGTTGACCTTTTAGTGAAATGCATGTTATTAATGTATTTAATGATATGCATTACAAACTGCAGTGAGCACCATGTTTTATTACAGGTCTAAAATGCAATATCATTAAAGACCTTTAATAGAAACAATGGTTGACATTTTGCTATTTCCCATAAGCAAAAAAAATCTGAGAACATAGCATAATGTAATATAAATATAGAGGAAGTGATGAAGTTCTTTACTTGCCTATGAGTATAAAAACAAATTCCACTATTAATAAATTGCATTGTATTTGCACTCCCCCATCTTCACCCTCTCTTCGCTCTGTGGCCCTTCGCCCAGGCCTTCAACTATTTTGACCTGAACAGACTAAAATTTTTACTGTTAATTTGACTTCAGCACTAATAAACACCTTAAGAATATCTTTTTAAATTTTGAGTAAGGCATGGGCATTCACGGAGTCTTTATAATGTTTCTGTTTTGTTTTATGTTTTATTTATGTTTAAAGTTGGCAGTAGATTCACAGGGCTCAAAATGTAAAAGATACCAAATGGCTAATATAGAGAAAATTTTCTTTCCCACTCTTGTGCCATCCAGGAACTGCCACCCAGCTCCCTATCCCATGGGCAACTAATATTATCAGTGAAACTCCCCCCATCTTTTAAAATTACTTAGTTGCCTCAAGTTACAAATGTATGAACATCTATTTGTTCTCTCAGTTAACACCTTATGGGTCCATGGCAAATGAAATATAGAACCCTGAAGCATTCTTTATTACTTGGGGTAAGTTTAAGTATAGCTTGGGACAAAGGTACTTGCATGCGTCTCCTAATGTAGCATTGTGTAGGATCAAGGACCCTTTTTACTGTAGACTTCATCCAGCAAAAAATGAGATAAGCTGGGTCTTTTTGTTTCAGCCGATGTCTCATTTTTAAAACTATCTTTATTGTTTCAATTTTAAAATTATGTCATGCTTACTTCAGAAATTCAGAAAATACATAAAAGGGTAAAGAAGAGAATAAGGATTACCTGTAATCCAATTGCCCAGAGGTAACCACAGTTGTCATTTTGATGAATAACCTTTCAAACCTTTTTCTGTGCTTACAAACACATACTCACATACGTGTTCCCTAAAAAAAAAAAAAAGGAATCTTATAAGTATGTACTATTTTGTAAGCTTATTTTTCTACTTAATATTTCATGTCAGTATATTTAGATGTACATCAGCATTTTCAGTGGCTACAGAATATTCCATTTTATAGATTTACTGCAATTTATTTAACCAAGCTGTATTGATGGATGCTTAGGTTTATTCTAGTGTTTCACTTTGGTAAAGCATGCTTTGATAAACATCCTTGTACATACATATTTGTGCAATTTGTCTAAAAGTAGCCCTTCCAATAGGAATATAATGTAAGCCACATATGTAATTTAAAATTTTCTAGTAACCGCATTAAGAAAAAGTCTAAGAACACAGGTGAAATTAGCTTGTAATATATTTCATTTAACCCTGTATATCAAAAATATTTTAACACGTAGTCAATATACAAATATTAATGAGGTATTTTATGTATCTTTTTTCATGTTAAATCTAGAGTATATGCCACACTTAATGCTCATCTTGGTTTGGACTAAGCACATATTGAGTGCTCAGTAGCCACATG